TTTGCTCTAGTCACTGTGCCTTTTAATTTCTGTTTAACTAACCTCCTCATTTTTGTGTAATTCCCCTTTTTGAAATTAAATACCAGGGTGCTGGACTGCTGAGGTGTTCTTCCCACCACAGGAATGTTGAATGTTATTCTATTATGGTCACTATTCCCAAGCGGTCCTGTAACGGTTATTTCCTGGCCCTGATCCTGCTCTCCACTCAGGACTAAATGGAGAATTGCCTCTCCCCTTGTGGGTTCCTGCACTAGCTGCTCCAAGAAGCAGTCATTTAAGCCATTGAGAAATTTTATCTCCGCTTCTCTTCCTGAGGTGACATGTATCCAGTCAATATGGGGGTAATTAAAATCCCCCATTATTATAGACTTCTTTATTTTGGTAGCCTCTCTAATCTCCCTCAGCATTTCAATGTCAGTATCGCTGTCCTGGTCAGGTGGTCGGTAATATATCCCTACTGCTAATTTCTTATTATTGGAGCATGGAATTACTATCCATAGCGATTCTATTGAACATGTTGATTCATTTAATATTTTTATTTCATTTGATTCTACATTCTCTTTCACATACAGTGCCACTCCACCACCCACCCGGCCTGCTCTATCCTTCTGATATATTTTATATCCCGGTATGATTGTGTCCCACAGATTTTCCTCATTCCACCAGGTTTCAATGATGCCTATTATGTCAGTCTCCTCCTTTAATACGAGGTACTCTAGTTCACCCATCTGATTAGTCAGACTCCTAGCATTTGTGTAGAAGCACTTTAAAAATTTGCCACTGCTTATCTGTCTGCCCTTCTCTGATGCACTGGATAGAGATTTGTAGTGTGGAGGGTTGAGGGTATGGTTCCCTCTAAGGTTGAGGCCCACTCACCTCCAAAGCAGAGCCTCGCCATGGCTACTCAACTGCTCTGGGGTGGGTTGAGTGGCACACCGTGCTTGTTCTAGTGGCCCCAGCCAGGGCCAGGGCAAGAGCCACAGTGGGAATCTGCTCCAGCAGCCCAGCTGGAACCAGAGCCGTAACTGTGTCATGAGCAGTGTGTGCTTTGGTGCCCTCAGCCACAGCCTGCAGCCAAGGCCAGACCCAGAGGCACATGATGGTGAGGGACTGGCCTGTTCTAGCAACCAGGGCTGTGTGGTGAGGAGGTCTGGTTCCAGATCTCAAAAGGTAAATCTGCAGGTTATTTGAGGGATAAAATAGATGGCAAATGACTAGAAAAATGTTCTGTTCATATTTAAGAGCCTAAACCATGTCAAGAAGAACAATTATCTCTGACGTACAATAGTCTTGTCACTTGTGAAGGCATCAACTACATCACTAGTGCTGATTGTGCCAATGACTTTTTTTCTCCCCATGGAAGTTATTTCTCTCAGTCACACTCTCTCACACACGCATTGCATAGAAGCAACAAAAACTTTCTTAATGGACGTTGATTATTTTCTGTTCATGCTAAATCAATATGCAATTGATGATGACATATTAAAGGGACTTTTCTATGATTCAAAGGGGTCTAAAGCATGCAGATACTTTAAGAAATAATCTAATTATAGATTATATGCCCTATATACAGTGTAGTAATATGGACTGAAAAAAAACACCTGGATGAAATTTTCTGGTGATATTCCTAAATTCATCTTCTGAATGTCATTAAGTTGCAGCTGCAGAATGAGCTTTAGAGTTAATGGTGAGGGATGGGGCATACCTTTTTATAGTTTACAAATTACTACACTGACTTGATTAGACTGGGAGGAAAGTGCAGGGGTTGGGATGAAAGGACACTACAGAAGTTAGGGGCAAAGGGAACACAATGCAGGGATGGTGGTAAAGGCTACACAGGATAGGGGTGCAGCGAATGGGGAGCTCATGGATGCAGGAACAGTGGAGCAAGGCTGAGTGGGAATGAGACTAGGTGCCAAGCGGGGAAGTTTCCAGGGTCAATGTGTGCAGGGACATGCACCTTGTTAATTATCCTTTGTTTCAGTATTTTTCTTCCAAAACCATTTGAATTGTGTGTGTGCATGCACGCGTGTACATGCACGCACGCAAAAATGCTCACTAACTCGTGTGTGGCACACATCCAAACAAGCACACAGGATGTCACTCTTTGTGCATAAGAAAATACTCACTCTATTCCTGGAAGGAAAATCTTAGAGCGAATACTGGTTGAGGGCTTCAGCTGGGGGTGTGATCTCAAAGATGGAGGGGACTGATGTGCAGGCCACTGAAAGGCTACATTGAGGAAAGAATTCCATAACCTCTCACTCCCCCAACTTAGGTGCTACTGTGAACAGGGAGGAGGAAAACACACCTCTCCCTGCCATGGTAGCTCTGGGGCTAAGGCCGTGGGATAGTCAATTGTACTCTGGCCACGGCAGGTGTGGGCTGGGGTTGAGACCACTGGGTAACGGTATCCCTCCCCACCAAAGCCCTATGAGCTTACATGGCATTTAGTAGGCTGTGGCACAGCCACCTGGCCACACAGCTTAAAGGGAACTCAGGTTATACGTTTCGCCCCTCTGTGGGTCATCCGAAGGCTAACAAGATTTGAGCTCTGACTGAAGCTTTCCCCACAGTCAGAGCAGCTGAATGGTTCTCTCCCCTCTGTGGGTTGTCGTATGTTTAACGAAGTCTGACCTGTGTTTGAAGCCTTTTCTGGAATCAGAGCTGTTATGAGGTGACTCTCTTGTATGTACTGTCCCATGACTAGTAATGCAGGAGCACTGACTGAAGCTTTTCCTGCAGTCAGAGCAGCTGAAGGGTTTCTCCCGTGTGGGTACTCCTATGACTAACAAGGTATGAGTTTCTACTGAAGCTTTTCCCGCAGTCAGAGCAACAGAAGGGTTTCTCTCCTGTATGGGTCCTCCTATGCGTAACAAGGTGTGACTTCTGACTGAAGCTTTTCCCGCAGTCAGAGCAATTGAAAGGTTTCTCTCCTGTGTGGCTCCTTCTATGGGTAACAAGCTCTGAGCTCCGACTGAATCTTTTCCCGCAGTCAGAGCAGCTGAAGGGTTTCTCTCCTGTGTGAGTCATCCTATGGGTAACAAGGTGTGACTTCTGACTGAAGTTTTTCCCACAGTCAGAGCAATTGAAAAGTTTCTCTCCTGTGTGGATCCTCCTATGTCTAACAAGGTGTGACTTTTCACTGAAGCTTTTCCCGCAGTCAGAGCAATTGAAAGGTTTCTCTCCCGTGTGGGTTTTCCTATGTCTAACAAGGTGTTCACTTCTACCGAAGCTTTTCCCACAGTCAGAGCAATTGAAAGGCTCCTCTCCTGTGTGAGTCCTCCTATGGGTAACAAGGTGTGAGCTTCTACTGAAGCTTTTCCCACAGTCAGAGCAGTTATGGGGTGTGTCTCCTGTATGTATTTTCTGATAGTTCGTAAAGTCTGAGTGTTCATGGAAGCTCTTCCCAGAGTCAGAGCACTTGCAGGGCTTCTCTCCTGTGTGGGTCATCCTATGGGTAACGAGGTGTGATTTCTGACTGAAGTTTTTCCCACAGCCAGAGCACTTGAAAAGTTTCTCTCCTGTGTGGGTCCTCCTATGTCTAACAAGGTGTGACTTGTCACTGAAGTTTTTCCCACAGTCAGAGCAATTGAAAAGTTTCTCTCCTGTGTGGATCCTCCTATGTCTAACAAGGTGTGACTTTTCACTGAAGCTTTTCCCGCAGTCAGAGCAGCTGAAGGGTTTCTCTCTTGTATGGGTTCTCTTATGATGAACAAGGTCTGAGCTCCCTATAAAGCTTTTCCCACAGTCAGAGCAGCTGAAGGGTTTCTCTCCTGTGTGGGCTCTTTGATGTTCAAGAAGAGTTTCACAGTCACTACAAATGCAGGGTGACTGTTGATGAGGGATTTCCTGTTGAGGGGTTTCTGTGTTTCTTTTCTCCCCTCTGCTCCTGTGACTGGAGTTACCCTGTCCCTCTCCTGGGTGGTTTCCCTGCTGCCTTTCTGGGCTATGCTGACTCTCACAGTTCTCTTTTTTCTCACATATCTGGAAAACATACCCTTCAGATTTTCCCAATAACATCCCACATGGAGACACTTGCTCCGATCCCTCCTGCTGCACAAGATCACAGTTCTCGGTCAGCATCCCATCACCTGTTGGGATAGAGAAATAATCCAGACAGGAGTTATTCTCTATGATGAGCTGAAAGAAAACTCTAAAAGAGGAATAGAAAAGGGGACACACGCTCAAATAATGACAAATTATCACCAGCTGAGTTCATCCTCCTGCTTCACAACCCTTCCACAGAGAAGAGAACCCAGTCTTTCCTCACCCACCACACACTAACTGGAGTTGAAGACAGACTGAACAGTCAGTTAGACTTCATGAAAACACAGAAGTTACATCTGCTATAATGAGACAGAAATTAGTTTGGAGAAATGGAGACTGATTGCTCACCTGTCTGGGTGTTGCTGATGATCTCCCCTTCCTCACAGCTCTGGGGATCTGGGACCCGCAACTCCTCCTCTAACTCCATCCAGGAGATCACATCAGTTTTGGAGACTTGAAATTCTGTTTGGAGAGCAATGAACCAAGTGCTGATCTTGTTCATTAAGGTCTGTGCCATTACTGCTTCCAGAGCCAGGATCCGAGTCACCCACCCAGAGAGTCTCTCTTCCCCACCTTGCAGACATTGGGCTCTGGCTGGTACAAGATCCCAGGATACACTCACCTGCAGTAAAGGTGCATCACTCTCCCCTCCCCCCCCCACCTTGGGAATGGCCCAGCTCATTCCTGAGGGGAGCTGAGCACTCTGTTGCACTCTCTAGGGTACAACTCAATCCCCCTCAGAGCCTGTTCCATCCCCCAGGCATCCCAGGGCTGGACAAGAACACACTGCTCAGAAGGGGAGCTCTAGTGAGGGCTTGCAGGTCTGACACCAAGGTCCCCAGACAGGGCTCAGACTGCAGCTGCCACATGGCAAGTCACTAGGACTTGGAGATGAAGGACCCAGCAGAGCTCTAGATCCCCAGGGCTCTGTCCACAAAACTTCTGGCTGGTGGCTGGGCTTCCCTTGATCTTTGGCTCAGATGCCCTACTTGGGCCAGAAGGAGACAGGGGAAGTTGCCGGAGTATCTAAGTGAATCCTTGGCTGGTTGCTTAAGGTCCTGCCTATGCGCCATACTCCTGATCCCAACTGCCTATGTCTGGGTGGGTCCTGCTAGCTACCCCAAGAGAAGCCCAGCGCCACCCTGGGCAGCCATGGGAATGGTAAGCCAGGGCAGAGCTGGGCCATGCTGCTCCTCTGGTACTTGGGGCTGTTGCTCAGCTCCCCCTCTGCAGCCTCAGTTCTACTCTGCCAGCAGCAGCCTTTGTGTGGTTTCCCAGTCTGGCTCTTGTGGCGAGCCTGGCCTTTGATTTGGTTCCCCTCAAGGCTGCACAGAATCTATCACCCTTACACCTTGTGAGTGTGTTCCCCTCAGCTTTGGCCCCACCCCTTCTCAGAACTTCATTTAGTGTTCAGAAGATCCACCTGTGACATGACCATGGAGATCATTATGCTACCGCTGTTACACAACTGCAATAAACCTTGTGCAAAGTGTGCTGAATGCTATGTCAATGGGAATGTTCTGATGTGATGACTATGATTATCTTGTTTATGTCCATTATTTTTTAACTAGAACAGGCTGGGCTTTGGCAGAATGGTGGGGCAGTGGGTACCAAGTAACCAGGAAAGTACATTCCTGAGCAGGAGGAAGCCAATCAACACAGAGATCTCCGTAGTTAATGCAAACACATAGTCCTAAGAGATGGCTCAGAAAGACATTGACCCTTGTGCACAAGAGTGGGATGAGGGGATAATGGATACGGATGTTTTGTTCAAACAGGTGGTAGAACAAATGGAATGCAACATGCATCTTGTTTGTGTCTATGTATGAGAGGGGAAGTCACAGGAGGGGCATGTTGATGCTGGCTGAGGGACAGCATTCTGACTGCTGACTGAGCTAATACTGTTATTGGGCTGGGACAAGTCTCACTATACCTGTGCCTGAGGAGCTGGAACACTAGCACCCTGCTCCTTTTCACAATAAACTTGGCTGAGTGCCTTAGCCTCCGAATGGAGTCTGGGTCTTTCTTTGCATAACTCTGAGCTGTGCTGCATGGGCAAGCCACACGCTCTGCCAGTGCTGCTGGCATCAGAGCTCCAGAAAAAGCCACCCTGAACAGCCGTAATGACGCTCTGTGGCGCTAGCAGCAATTCATATGGCACTGCAGTCTCTACGGGAAGCAAAATTATCAATCACAGCAGTACCTGGGAATTCTGGTGTAAATCAGGACCCCACTGTGCTATTGGCAGGGCTCGCCAGCCGCACAGAAGCGCACATGCGTGGCCCCGTCAGCTTAAAATCTACTCGCCACAGGCGAATAGTTTGAGTAATTTGTCGAGCTTTGGCTATTGGGGTGCTCATATGGAGCTAAGCATCACTATTCTTTATTGTAGGTATCCTTCCCCAGCTCTGTGAAACAGGGACACACTGTAATAGCCAAGGCTCGACAAATGAGCTAATCTACTTGCCCGTGGCAAGTAAATTTTAGGTTGGCAGGGCCACATGGTCAGCTATTGCAGAGAGAGGTGATCACACACAGAGTCTAAGGAACTTCATCAAGGTCCCGCAGGAAGTCTGTGATGGGCAGAAAACTGAACACACGTCTGTTGAGCATGAAACCAGACATTCCCATAGGAATAAAAAGTCCCGACCCGAGGATATTTCACTCTAAAAAGACAACACAGATTATATGATTTATCTCCATTGCACACAGAGGCAAGTGAGCCCTAGAGAGAATGAAGCTGAACTTTTGAAAGGAAACCCAGCCTGTGCCTGAAATGCGAACGTGAGCAGAACTTTCCTTATCTACTACAGAGCTACCTCCAACAAAATACTTGCAGAGCTTGAACTGCCTCATCCACCCTCCCTCAGCCCCAACATCCAGACCCTCCCACTGGCAAGAACAAGCATGTCACAGACATTAGCTACAGGCAGGGAAGGACTCTGTGAACCGCAACCTCCTTCCAGTGGCTCAACAGACTACCACAAGGGGACACTGCAGCCAGACCCAGAACTCTGGTACCTGCTGTTCCTGCCTGAGCCCTTCTACTCACACCTCCGGTCAAGGCACTAGATGGGCAAGACAGGGGGAAGCGCAGTGAGACCTTAGATGTGGGAAGAGCAGCACCGCTGTTATGTCCCTAAACCTGCTCTCCCTGGGAGGGGGCAGGGAGGTGACAGTCTTGCACACAAGAACCAGGATGATTGTGGTAGATACTCCTGACATTGGGGGCAGAGGCAACAAATGACCCTGAACCAAACCCAACCCAGATGCTCCAGAGCCCACCCAGCTTCTGTTACCCAAGGAGACAGGAATCCTTACTCAGCCAGTTCACAGACTCATAATTCTCCTGCATCACATCGCCGTAGAGGGCTCTCTGGGCCGGGTGCAGCAGAGCCCATTCATCCTCAGAGAAATAAACAGCCACTTCTTCAAAGCTCACTGGCTCCACTTCCTGTCCCTGGCTCTGTAGGCCAGGGGCTGAGCTGGAGACAGACATAGGTGTTCTGCAGCCTGGCAGGTGGAGAAGAAGAATTGGAGACATTTCAGAAGGGGCTTTAATCCTTTCCACACCCCCATTCTCCCCAGACTCTGTCCCTAGTGACACGTGTTAGACTCTGCCATTGTAGGCAAAAGTTTTAGTCTAGAAATTACATAAACAGCGCATAGGAGTTAGATCCCAAATACACATTCATTTCTGTCTCTACCTGGCTTGAGTTATACCAACAGGCTGCATCTAGACTGGCAAGTTTTTCCGCAAAAGCACCTGCTTTTGCGCAAAAACTTGCCAGCTGTCTACACTTGCCGCCTGATTTTGCGCAAAAGCAGTGACGTTCTATTGTCCGAAATCAGTGCTTCTTGTGCAAATGCTTTGATGTTCCCGTTTGGGCAAAAGCCATTTTCCAGAAATGTTTTTGCACAAGAGGGCCAGTGTAGACAGCTAAAAACTGTTTTGTGCAAAAAAGCCCCGATGGCGAAAATGGCAATTGGGACTTTCTTGTGCAAAACCGCGTCTAGATGGGCACGGACGCTTTTCTGCAAAAAGTGCTTTTGTGGAAAAGCGTCCATGCCAATCTAGACGTTCTTTTCCACAAATGATTTTAACAGAAAAACTTTTTCGTTAAAAGCATTTGCGGAAAATCATGCCAGTCTAGATGTAGCCTTACTGCGTCTGCCACAATGGAATTTAGTTCTCAGCACCCAGTGTTTCGGATAACAAGCCTCATATTCATCTGCCTGAACATGGATATAAGTTAAATTTAGGCTGCTGTATTTAAAACCCTTAGTCTTCATTCATGGATTTGCAGCACAAACTTTGTTCTCTCATCTGACAGACGTTATAAACCCTTTCCACAACAGAGTCAGTGAAGTTAACACCACCATTCAGATGCTTATTATTAAACATGTGTGCTGAGTGTTTCCAGGGTGAGATCTTAAAATTCATGGTTTCATGGGATCAGAAGATACCCTTACTCACACAGTCTGACCCCCTCTGTGGCACAAGCCATTATACTTAGTCCAGTTACCCAGGCACAGAGCTCTGTTTCCCCACTGTGTATTTTCTAGAAAGTCCCCCAGTGATTTGAAGGTATCAAGAGATGGAGAATCCACCAGTTCTTTGATCATTTGTTTCAGCAGCAAATCCTCTTCTCTATCAAACATTTGTTCCTCTTTTCTAGCCTGAAATAGTCTGGCTCCAGTCGTCATTTATTGGCTCTCACTAAACCATATCCAGTCGATGGGGTGGGCAATTCATTTTGATGGGGGGCCAAATGGAAAGTGGCTAAGAGCTGCACTCTTCCATGACATTAATGCAGGAAATGCAAGGTCTGGTATGGACATTGGAAGAAGAAGGAAGTTTGGGGTAAGGATTTGGAATGCAGGAGTGATAGAGAGGTCTAGGAGGGAGTTTGGGTGAAGAAGGCAGACTGTGATCTACATCACTGGATTAGCCAACCACTCAGATAATTAAAGTAACTTTAATTTAGAGAAGTGACTTAGTGGACAAATAAGGGGCTGTGGGTTTCTGACCTCTGAGAGCTCTTGCATATATAGCTGCAGGAGGAGGACAAAGTTTGGGTATGCGGGGGGGGGGGGGGGGGGGAAGAGAGAGGTTGAGGTGCCAGAGGTAAGCTCTGGACAGGAAACTTATGAGTGATTCCTGGCCAAAGGCAAATCACCTCAGGCAGGCAGGGAGCCTGCCCGATCCTCTCACAGGCTGCAGAGCCATGTGGGTATGTGAATAATTATGATCCAGAGGGGAGGGGACGCAGTGCTTTGTTTCTGGCCAGAAATCAGCCAATGAGATTGTCCTGGGGATGGAAGCAGCCCCTGAAGCCTTTCCCCCTCCCCTCCGGGCTCACAGTCCCTTTCTGAGTGACTTACAGATGGGAAGTGGCATCCGTGGGGTGGATCCAGCCCATGGGCTGTATTTTGCCCAGGCCTGCACTAGACTTAACAGTCCTTGGGGACTCAGCAGTTTCTTGCCTTGAACAAACTGATACCGTGGAAGCCAGTCAGTTCTCAGCCTTTCAGCCTATTTATTGTTTGAAACCAATCCCATATGAAACTGACTGAGTAGTGAAATCTGAGCCTGAAGGTGCCATCCCTTGTGTGCTTTAACTTCACCCCTTTAGCATCACAAACCCATAGACCAGTGTGTCTCCAAGTGTCCACAGGTCCCCATGCAGTGCCACTAGGTCTCCTCACAGATCACCGGGTGAGATTTAGGGCTGTGAGCACCGTGGTCGCTGGGTTTGGTTGGTAACTTCAATGACAATCACATGAAGATGTTTTCACAGGAATTTTCTCACAGTTTAAAGAATTTCCACCAGCAAACTCACCTTGTCTGAAAGCTCCCAGGGATTTTCTTCTTGATCTCTCCAGTGCAGAGGGCAGAGTATCTGGTGGGAGAAGGAATAAGAGAGGTGAGATTCCAGGCTCTCCTGTTTATAACAATGTCCCACTCTGAACCCTGTGTTTCAACTGTATCAGAGACCAGACAGAGACACATGCAGGTATTTAGTATAAAAGAGTCTGAAATTTTCATTTCCTCTGTCACTCGGGAACCTCCCAGCAATGGAGCCAATATCCCTACAGCATCACACCAATCCCAGGAAAGAGAAGCTGTAAGTGAGACTTACTCTTCCCTCCTCACTCCCTCCCACTTGGTTTCTCATTCACTTACTGACTCTTATCATAACCTGGAACTGTGGTGGTGGAACATGTGGCTATCACAGTAACTTTAGCCATTTTGATCTCTGAATGGGCGGTTCAGAGTTTGCAGACCCCTGGCTATATCTGCAAGCAGATGGGTCTCTTCGCTCAGTGTCTCTAAGGAGAGCAGAGTGATGGCACTGTCATTCTCCATGTGAGAATTGAGGCAGGGCAAGGTTGGCTTCAGAAGCCAGATTCAATAGTCTCAGATACTTGAACCACTTTCCCTTCATACATCCCTTCTAGGTACCTTTGAACTCCCTCAGAGTCTCTGACAGAGCAATCGTTTTCTGGGAGAAACTGCTGACTTGTTCTTCTAGTTCAGGGGAAATCTCCTCTGGCAGCTGGAACTCCCCTGTCTCACACCTGGACAGAAACAATTCCATGTGATTGTATTTTGTTTACTGCTGATAAGTTCTGGCTAGTGAGTCTCAGCTCTAACTGTCCTGGAGCTAGAATTCCTCCAAATCTCCCATCCTGACAGCAGGGGTAACACATCTAATGGCCATGCAACCTTCCCTTGAGAGGTCCCACTGCTGTTCTTCACCTCTGGCCTGGGGAGACTGGCTGGGGGACTAAGGGGAAATTTAGTCTCCATGGCCAACTCACTCCTTGGCTCCCAGATGAAGGGCTGAAGGAATCTGTCCACTAGGGACTAGACTGAGACATCAGCTCCCCGTGCCCCAGCTCTTTCCACAAAGGTCTCCAAACAGCCCTTGAGTGGGACAGATTCTTGGTCCCTGCTACCCTGGGCTGAACGTGCCCAGTGCCCAGCAATAACAGGCCCATGTTCCATCCCACAGTCCTGAAGATGCCTGTCTCCAGGGAGGTGAGAGTTCTAGGAAACACTTTAGGTCAGACTGTTCCCTGAATGGGGAATTCCAGAGCCTGTAGTGCGAGGATGAGACTCTCAGAATTAGAAGAGTCAGAGATATTCATATCGAACATCTGGCTGTGGAGCGCTGGGAAGATGTGGTGCTAACATCAGCTCCAAGCCCTTTCCCTGCGCTGCACAGTATGAGGGGAGCAAGAACCACCTACCTGCTTAGGGTGCTTCTGATGTCCTAGAAAAGAAAAAGACACAGAAAAAAATTTCAGCCCCATTGAACACACACAAGGGGACCTCAAGGAAGGGATTTTGCAAACATGGGAAGAGAGGCCCTGCACTGGCCCCAGGAACATGGATCCTCTGAGCGAATGGGGATTTGCCATCTCTAATAGTTCTGTGCCTGTATCTCTACAAAGCACAACAGTCACTCACATGGCAGCAATGAACAAGGTGTTACATTGAAATCTGACAGCTGGACCCCAGCACTTCGGATTCAGGAGCCTCCTTTCCCTGTGTGGGGAGATGGGATGTTTCTCCCTCAGTCTCACCTGCAGGAATTCACTTGCTGGCTTCTGACACATCTCCTCCAGCTCACCGATCCACTCACTGAGGGAAGAAATCTGCATGGAGAGCTTCCTGAAAGTGTCAGCCTGGAACCTCCCAATCTCCTCATCCAGCTTCTCCAGCTGCGTTAGGAGTCGCAGCTCGTGTTCCTCCAGGAACTGCCTCAGCTGATGAAACTCAGCCACAATCATCTGACTCTCAACTTGGATCCATTTCTGTGTGAAAACAGGGAAAGGGCTGGGCAGGGGCATGGACGGAGCTGAGGGCCCTTTCATGGGGAGCTGAGTGCACAGCAGGGAGACTTTCTTGGAAAACCCTAAAATTTGTAACATTTGACTATACTTTGTGATTACTAGGTAGAGGCATCTCTCCCAGCATCTCCTTTGGCCCGTGTACCTCTGAAACGGATGTTCCCATGTCTGTCATGGGCAGCATCTTCTGTTATTCATGGGCTCTGGGAATTCAGATCCAGAGCAGCAGGAGGCAGGACTTAGCACCAGCCTGACAGAGATACTCAGGGAGGAAAAAGAAGAAAACATGCTAATGTACCAAGTGAGCAGACAGCCCTTTAGGGGGACATTCAGCTCCCTTGGGGAGGATGTCTGAGACAACTAGAAAGGTTGGAAATTATCTCATGCACTGACATGGATGCTCAAGGCCTGTCTACATATGGATCTCAGCCAGCAATCCATGATCTAGGAGAAACACAAAGAAGCCCAACCTCACCAAGGCCACACAGGATTCTGCTTCCTAACACAGCCCTCCCACTGCCAGTCCCTACTGGTTCATAGCCACAAGAACCTACGAGATACTCCTGGCTTTTCCTTTCTGCTGTTGTTTTCCTTCTCAGCAGCTTTTCTCTCTCTTCCCTCAGCGCCTTCAAATGGGCCTCCAATTTTTCCTGAAGAAACAGAAATAAACACGAGGGCAAACCCTATGAGATGTTTGGAGCCCATTTGTCTGCCTTTAAGAGAATCCCAGTTTTGTGGAGCTCTGCCTCTGTCCAGCAGGGACTCAGCCCTGGATGTAGCTTTGTCCATAGAAAAAGACACAGAAAGAGACTGCAGATAAAGGACACCCGTTAGGGTGGTGGACGGATTGGTGGTGGCACCTTCATAAAGAATGATGCAGGTGGTTAACAATACTAATCATGTAACCAATTACAATTTTATCAGTGATTTTTTTAACCTACTAACAGGCAGAGCAGGCAGTGGAAATGGGCTCTCCTGGTTCCAGGGTTCTCTCGCGAGGTCTGACGGGCGTGGCCACAAAAACTGCTGGCCGATGGTAACTCCCAGCAGCTGCAGACTGACGTTAGCTGCCTGAAGAACGCAGGCAGTGGGGAGTTTAACCGGTAACTGGCACCAATAAATATTAGCTCATCAATTAACCAGTTTGAACTCTTGCTACAATCCAGTTGAATCCTAGTTGTGCCTGGCATTGACCTGCACTTCCTGAAGCCCTGCTATGGGTGGAGTGAAGGTGCTCAGGGCCCCACACAGTATCCAGCCCAGCAACCTCATCTAGTGCCAGTTGCTGCATCAGAGTTTAACCCCTCATGGAGCAGCCCAGAAGCTCAGCATCCCAGTGGGAAACCTCTTCTCCCTGCTGGGCCTAGGGCTTTATCAAGGCATCTTTCTCTTCTAACAGCCACACTTCATCACTGTTCAGAGATGCTGAGAGAGAGAGAGCAGTGTAGTCTAACAGTTGGACCAGGGTTTGGAAATAAACTCTATCCCTGATGTGTTTGGCGACAGAGAGAGAGCAGTGTAGTCTAACAGTTGGACCAGGGTTTGGAAATAAACTCTATCCCTGATGTGTTTGGCGACTATGAGCAACTTGCTGCCCCACCTACCCTCCCCACAGTTTGTCTAACTGGACTGTGACCTGCTCAGAGCAGGAACTTTCCCTCACTGGGTGTTGTGCAGGGCCCAGATCCCATTGTGGATCTATAAGGCAAATGACAGATTATTATTCCTGTTCATCCAATCAGTAGCAGCTTGTAACCGCCTCTTCTTCAATCGCAAGGCAGCTCTCTGACAGAGTAGCCTGTAGCTCCTGTAATCTAAACCTCTCTGATTAACACGTTCATTTGTGCAAACAGCCCTCCTGTCACCAGTGAGGGCTGGGTCTCAGGATTAAGAGAAACATTTCCCACAGGAGGTATCAGTAAAGAGTTGATGTAAGTTGCCACAAAGCCAGAACATTTACTTCTTACAGAATCTCTTGTATCATGAAGGCTTTTCAGACTTATTTCACACATGCTCCCGGTAACAGTCAATGAAATTAGCCTGTAATTAAAACCCAATGTTATTTCCCATTACATTGGACAGCAGTTCTGTACCTTGTACTCCTGGGAAGCTTCTTGTAAGGGCACCACCATGTGAGCTTGGGATCTGTCATACGCCACACAGATGGGAGTTTGATCCTCTTCACAGAACAGCTTCATAGCCTCCTGGTGCTCCTCGCACATCCCGTCCCATCTTGCTCTCTTTGCTGCTTGGAAACTCAGCTGCTTGGCTAGTTCCACCACCTTTACCAGCTGCTGATTGGGCTGGAGGGGTCCCTGCTGCTCAGTGCCTCTGCATTGAGGGCTGAGGGGGGCCTGGCGGAAATTGTGCTCACACTCCAGAGTGACAGGGGCTGTGAAATCCTCCAGACAGACAGGACATGTCACTTCCTCCCAGAAACTTTGCATGGGGCTCTCTAAAGCCATGGCTGCCTCTGGGCTGGGGAAGAGGAGTAGTTTCACTTTCCTGAGCTCAGCAATGGAGGGGCAGGTCCGAGGGGGCAGGTGCATGAGGTACCAGCACTGAGGATAAAAAAAAAATCAAAATTAAAAACCAAAAAAGCTCCCAAAGCTTTGTTCACCCACTGTCCATGCCAGGC